ATACCCAGCTAATTTTTGATTTATTATAGAGACGAGGTCTCGCCAAGTTGCCCAGGTTGGTCTCGAACCTGCGGGCTCAGACAATCCACTCACTTCAGCCTCCCAAAGTGCTGGGATTGCAGGCTGAACCATTGAGCCCGGCCAATTATTTTTCAAGACTATATAATTTGGCCATATGGATGAAGTCTCTTTCTCTTTCTGGTTTCCACCCCCTTAGCATTGATAGAGCAGAACTTCAGGAGCCCCATGTGTCCCACAAAGTAGACAATCAAACCTAGTTCCCCTGCCAGAGCATTTTATCCCACAATTGATAGGGGTTCACAGAAATATCCACACATGGAAGGAAGGGCAAGAAGTTCCAAAATTTTAGTTACTGTTACTCTTCTTGCTCACTCATTCAACTTTTTTATTTTTAGCATCTCCTATTTGTTCCATGCTATGGAGAATATGAAAATTAATAAGATGGACCCCCTGTATTCAGAGAGCAAGAGAGAGAGGTAGACTTGTCAAAAACCAGCTATTGTGGTTTGCCTACCAGATATCAAGACTTCTTATCATGTTATAGAAATTACAAGATAGTGAACCATGAAAATCATAATTTATCATATTAAATCCAGACTGCAAGTTCATTCTTCCAGAAAATATTTATAGCCTATCTACTCTGTTCTGAGTACTGTGCCAGGCGGTTAGGGATCCAGTTTTTAAATTCTATCTTTTAGAGTTAATACATATTCTACAGTAATCTGGTGTGTTTATTTATCACTGCCTACATTGTCCTCTGTGTAGAGTAAACCAAAACTCTGATTCAGTGATCCTGGCTTTAGAATTATCCCCTGATTTTAGAAGAGTTTTGTATACCTGCCTACCAGCAATCACCAGAGCAAATGTTCATCTGGATTACTGGCTGTGGCCTAGGTAATTTTAATAACTGACTTGCTGCCTCTGCAGTCTGTCATGGGGGCCACTGCTCTCCTAAAACAATTCAAATCCTGTCACCTCAGACACCTCCTGCATTCCACAGGTAGCTCCAGCTGCCTCTGGCCCCTCCAGCGCCCCTCACCTCACCCTTCCTCTGTAGCATTTCCTTCACACCACTGGGTCTCTGCTTATGCTTTCCCTGACTCTGGAAGCCTTCAGACATTCACTCTTCTCTTCATCTGTCTGTGGAAATCTTTCTATATTCACTCAGCTCAGTTGTTAAGTTTTTGCAGTGGTTTCATTTTTATTTTGTTTTGTATTCCATGTTTTCACCCCCACTGGATTCATAACTCTTAGCACAGGTTCTATATGTGTGTTCTTGGAAAGCATGTAAAAAAAGAGATAGATTTGATCAAAACATTGCTGAACCCAGAGACTGTCTCCCTAAAACATTTTCTTTGAAACCCTTGCCTTCATGAATACAAGGGTACAAGATACCAAACATGTAAATTTACAAGATTATAGTTCTTAACTATGATAACTGCTGTGCAAAAAAATCAGGAGAGTTCAACTTTAGACTGAATAGCAAAAGATCTAGAGGCAAGAAAGAAGGTATAATGACTAGCAAACCCACTAAGAAAGAAAGCTGAGAAGTGAGGCGGGAAAGGTACCCAGGGTTCAGCCATTAGGGCCATTTGTGCTGGGAAGCCATCGGAGAGATCCCCACAGGAGAGGGCCACTCTTCAGTTCCCTTTTTAAAGAAGGTGACTTACCCTCATGCTGTATCAGTAGGAAGAATTAGATTTAGCATGTAGTTCTTTAAAGATTCATGACAGATTCAGAAAATGAAATTAGCCAGATTTTTAAGTCTGCTCAGAAATGCCCGATATAAAAGTATATCCTATAAATATATCTCCCACTGTGTATTTTGGTAGTCTCTTTGGCTGGTTCCCCCATCTCCAAACTGAGCTGTTGCTCTTGCAAGATCATTCTCATGCCAAGCTATTTCTTATTTTTCTAGAAACTCATAAAATTTTCTCCTTTTTTAAAATTTTAGGTGGAATGCAATTCCCGCCTGAACCCGATAAATACAACTTTGTTAAAGGTATTGTCTTCTTCCTCACTTCCAGCCATTTGTGAGTAAATTATTCATGTTTCAGTTTACTGTGTTTTATGCCCTGAAAGAAGCAAAACTTCCCTCTCTGTGGTTCTTTCATTCTGTTTTTTAAAAAGATTTTTTTCCTGAATATTTTCTCATTGTAGAACATTGGAAAATAGAGAAAGCATCAAGAATAAAGTAAATTAAAAATTACTCATAATCAGGCCAGGCACAGTGGCTCATGTAATCTTAGCACTTTGGGAGACTGAGGTAAGAGGATTGCTTGAACCCAGGAGTTTGAGACCAGCCTAGCCAACATAGCTAGACTTTGTCTCTATAAAAAATTTTTTTATCCCGCGCCTTGGGAGGCTGAGGTGAGTGGATTGCCTGAGCCCGCGGGTTCGAGACCCGCCTGGGCAGCGAGACCTCATCTCTACAATAAATCAAAAAATCAGCCGGGCATGGTAGCACATGCCTGTAATTCCGGCTATTTGGAAGGCTGAGGCGGAAGGATCACCGGAACCCAGCAGGTCGAGGTTGCGGTGGCCGGAAGCGGCCACTGCACTCCAGTCTGGGCGACAGTTTGAGACTCCAACTCAAAAAAAAAAAAAAAAATTTTTTTTTTAAATTAGTGAAGCGCGGTGATACACTTATAGTCCCAACTACTCAGGAGGCTGAGCCAAAAGGATCCCTGAGCCTAGGACAGCCACTGAGGCTGCAGTGGCTGTGAGTGTGCCACTGCATTCCAGCCTGGGCAACAGAATGAGACTCTAACTAAAAAAAATAAAATAAAAATTCTGCCACCCATAGGTAGTCTCTAATAAAATATTGGTTTTTTACATAATTAAGATCTAAAGGAGCCAGGCGTGATGACTCACGCCTGTAATCCCAGCACTTTGTGGGGACGAGATGAGAGGATTGCTTTAGCCTACGGGTTCAAGACCAGCCTGGCCAACTTGCCAAGACCTTGTCTCTACAGTGAACCAAAAAATTAGCCAGACGTGGTGGCACACACCTGTGGTTCCAGCTACTTGGAAGGCAGAGGTAGAAGGATCACCTGAGCCCAGCAGGTTGAGGCTGTGGTGGCTGGAAGTGTACCACTACACTCCCGCATAGGCAGCAGAGTGAGACTCTGACACACACACGCACTCAAAAAAAAGATCAAAGTGATCAGACTCAGTGGCTCATACCTGTAATCCCAGCACTTTGAGAGGCAGAGGCAAGAGGATTGCTTGAGCCCAGAGGTTCAACACCAACCTGGGCAACTTGGTGAAACCTCGTCTCTACAGTAAATGCAAAAATTAGCCAGGTGTGGTGGTGTTCATTTGTAGTTTCACCTACTTGGAAGGCTGAGGCGCAAGGATCTCCTGAGCCCAGCAGGTCGATGCTTTAGTGGCTGTGATCATGCAACTGTACTCCTCCCTGAGCAACAGACTGAGACTCTGACTCAAAAATAAAAGGGGGGGTATTTACACCACTGTATCGGTTTTCCTCAACATTATGACATAGCATTTTCCCATGTAATTAAAAATTTTATAAGCATTATTTAATGTTGTGAAAAGTAAGATAATGAATGGAATTTTTTTTTTTGAATTGGAGTCTCACTCCGTCGCCCAGACTGGAGTACAGTGGCACGCTCCCGGCCACTGCAGCCTCGACCTGCTGGACTTCGGCAATCCTTCTGCCTCAGCCTTCCAAGTAGCTGGACCTAGAGGCGTGCGCTACCATGCCTGGCTAATTTTTGATTTATTGTATAGGTGAGGGCTCACCAAGTTGCCCGGGCTGGTCTTGAACCCTTGGGCTTAGGCAGTTCACTCACCTTGGCCTCCCAAAGTGCTGGGATTACAGGCTGAGCCACTGAGCCTGGCCGTGAATGGAAATTTTTTAACGTGAATCCTGCTGCATTGGTAAGCAAGCTTCCAATAACATTTCTAGTGGTGAGGGTGGGGTCATTTTCTTTCTTTCAGCAAATAGAGAGCAACTCTTTTTCTTTTGAGTTGAAGTCTCACTCTGTCGCCCAGACTAGAGTGCAGTGGCCACTCCCGGCCACCGCAGCCTCGACCTGCTGGGCTCCGGCGATCCTTCCGCCTCAGCCTTCTGAGTAGCCAGAATTACAGGCATGCACTACCATGCCCGGCTGATTTTTTGATTTATTGTAGAGATGAGGTCTCACTGCCCAGGCGGGTCTTGACCCCGCGGGCTCAGGCAGTCCACTCACCTCAGCCTCCCAAAGGCGCGGGATTACAGGCTGAGCCACCAAGCCCAGCTGAGAGCAACTCTTATACTAAATTTCTAGGATTAGTGTCAAGTGCCGCCCCCTTTTAAGCGTACCACAGGCAAGTGTTCCTACTTAGCACTGTTTCAATCTAGCTTTTCCTAGAGCCTGTAATAAAAGAGGTTATCTAGTTTACCTTCTATGAAGGGGTACTAAAAAAAAAAGATTTTTTTTTTGTACGGCAGACCTCTTGTAGTACCGGCCTCCCCTGCTAAGTAAGTGTTCTGGGAACCCATCAGCATCAGTGTCCCAGGAAGCATTGTTGTAAAAGGCTACATTTGGCTTCAGTGGGTCTTTTATTGGAGATTCTGTCAACACGTTTGCCCATTCCATGATGGGTGATACACAAGGGCACCTGCCCACACCACACTGAGTGTTCACCAGTGTTTGACCAAAAATGGCATGACCCCTGTACCCCAGGATTCCTGTTCACCCAGTACTTACCCCGAGTGACTTTTTTTTGTTTCCTTGATGAAAAAAGTCCCCAAAGGGAAATGTTTTGCCAATATAGAAGAGGTAAAACAAAAAATGGCAGAAACGCTCAAAGGTGTCAAAATTGACAAGTTCAAAAACTATTTTGAGCAGTGGAAAAAGCATCTCAGGTGTATTGCATCAGAGAGTACTTTGAAGGTGACTGAATTTTTTGTTGGTGGTTTTTTTTTTTTGGAGTTGGAGTCTCATTCTGTTGCCCAGACTGGAGTGCGGTGGCCACTCCCGGCCACCGCAGCCTCGCCTGCTGGGCTCTGGCGATCCTTCCACCTCAGCCTTCCAAGTAGCTGGAATTACAGGCATGCGCTACCATGCCCGGCTGACTTTTTGATTTATTGTAGAGACAAGGTCTCAAACCCCTGAGCTCAGGCAATCCTCTCACCTCTGCCTCCCAAAGTGCTGGGATTACAGACATGAGCCACTGCACCCAGCAGATGACTGAAATTTAAACATGGAAGAATAAATACACAATTTTTAATAAATAAATTTTGTTCTTTGGGGGTCTCCCTCGTTTGAATTTGGGCTGCTATAGATTTAAATGCTGATCTTATGTTGCTTACTGCTACGTTTATAATCTGAAAGACTCTGCCTTTTTCTCTTTCTCTTTGAAATGTGCTTTTTCAAAGGGTTGTGATATCACCAGAAGCAACTTATAGTTAATAGAAATATAATGAGCCAAGCGTGGTAGTTTATACCTGTAATCCCAGCACTTTGGGAGGCAGAGGCTAGAGGATTGCCTGAGTCAGAGGTTCAAGACCAGCCTGGGCAACTTGGTGAGATCTTGTCTCGGCAATAAATCAAAAAATTAGCTGGATATGGTGGCACACGTCTGTGGTTCCAGCTACTTGGAAGGCTGAGGTGGAGGGACCCCCTGAACCTAGCAGGTGGAGGCTGCAGTGCCCATGAGCATGCCACTGCACTCCAGCCTGGGTGACAGAATGAGACTCTGACTCAAAAAAAAAATTAAAAAATAAGAGGTTAATGCTCTGAGGTGACCAAACTCAAAATGTTTTGGGCTCCAGCTGATTCTTAGGGTAGTCTAAAATATGATATTTAAAAAAAAACTAATTTGTGGTTTCAGATTAGTTTGTTACTGCAGGTTTGAATGAATATTCAAGAGCACAAAACTGAACTCTACAATAGCCAAAGACATGGTGGTTATTTCTGAGCAAAAATGCCCATATGCAACACCGTAGAACAGAGTGGGTAGCTCCTATGGCAGGTTAAGCAGATTCTAAAAGTGTTTCTCCCAGTATTCTCTATCTGTATATGGGAACTGTTTATGGTTCTAATCAGGTTTTAGCTCCTAAACTTTATGAAAATACAGCCTGCGCACGTTTGGTCTGTTGTATATTTGTCAGGTTAAATGTTTGTTTCTATTCTTATGTTTGGAACTTCCAGGGGACTGTTTCTTGTTGATCTTTTTTTTTTTCTTTGAGTTGGAGTCTTACTCTGTTGCCCAGGTTGGAGTACAGTGGCAAACTCATAGCCACTGCAGCCTTGACCTGCTGGGCTCAGGTGATCCTTCCACCTCAGACTTGCAAGTAGCTGGAACTGAAGGCACACGCCACCATGCTCGGCTAATTTTTTAATTTATTGTAGAGACGAAGTCTCACCAGGTTGCCCAGGCTGGTCTCAAACTCCTGAACTCAGGCATATCCTCTCACCTCAGCCTCCCAAAGTGCTGGGATTACAGGTGTGAGCCACAATGCCCAGCCTCCTTGTTAATCTTAAACTTCATTGTCTTCTGAGGCATTCCCTTCTCCTCACTATTCCCCCTCAAAGAAAGTCTTAATGCCAGTGAATCAAAACCATTGGGTTTATTTCCCTTTTTTAAAAAATGCCAGTCAGCCTGAATAGGATACTTTCTAAGCACAGAATGCATCACATCTGGAAAGAAAAGGGTGGGCTTTTGTTTGGCCATCATGCCCTACAAACACTTTTCTGCAGATAGCAGATTCAAATCACCTAGGAGCTTGTTAGAAATGCAGGTTCTTGAACCTTACCCCAGGCCTATTGAGTTAGAATCTCTGCTGCAGGAATCCAAGAGCCTGAGTTTTAATAAGCCCTCCAGGCTATAAACCCAGCACTTTGGGAGGCCGAGGTGAGAAGATTGCCTGAACCCAGGGGTTCGACACCAGCCTGGGCAACTTGGCGAGACTTCATCTCTACAATAAATCACAAAAATTAGCCAGGCATGGTGATGCATGCCTGTGGTTCCAGCTACTTGAAAGACTGAGGCAAAAGGATCGCCGGAGCCCAGCAGGTCGAGGCTGCGGTGGCCGGGAGCATGCCACTGCACTCCAGTCTGGGCAACAGAGTAAGACTCCAACTCAAAATAAAAAATAAGCCCTCCAGGTAATTCCACGGCACACTGATGAAGCTGTACCCTAGAAATTTCTTGTGCAGGTGAGAATAACCAGCTGTAAAGGTTTATGAAGTGAAAAGCCACCTCACCAAATCCAGCTATGAGAAGAAAGTGGCTGACCAAGCAAGTTGACTGAATCAGCATCAGCTCCTGGTTGGAAAACTCCACTTAGTTATAGGTTGAAGACAATTAGAGTTGAAAGGGGACTTAGGAAGCATGATCCACAGAAAAGTTGGGGCTGGGTGCAGTGGCTCGCATCTGCAATCACAGCACTTTGGGAGGCTGAGTTAGGAGGATTGCTTGAGCCTAGGAGTTCAAGATCAGCCTAGGCAACACAGACCTCTTCTCTACAAAATATCAAAAATTAGCCAGGCATGGTGGTACATGCCTATAGTTCTAGCTACTTGGCTAGGCAGGAGGAATACCCAGCCTAGGAGTTCAAGACCAGCTTAGGCAACATATCGAGATCTCATCTCTATAAAAAAATCAAAAAGTTAGCCAAGCATGGTGCATGTGCCTGTAGTCTCAGCTACTTGGGAGGCTGAGGTAGAAGGCTCACCTGAGCCTAGGGGATTGAGACTGTGGTGAGCTGTGATTGTACTACTACATGCCAGCCTGAGCAACAAAGTGAGACCCCAACTCAAAACCAAAAAACAGAGAAGTTGGGGTCATGCTGTCTGAGGACTTTGAAAGAAATATTCTTCAGATGATTTTATGATTTTCTTTTTTCTTTTGAGTTGAAGTCTCACTCTGTCACCCAGACTGGAGTACAGTGGCACACTCCCAGCCACCCCGCAGCCTCGACCTGCTGGGCTCCGGCGATCCTTCCGCCTCAACCTTCCAAGTAGCC